TTATCCTTCTCGAAGAGAAATGTTTTCTACAATGAAACTGGTGGCTGATCTGAACAAAACTGTCCCTCCACTCAACAATTACAACTTTCATTCTGTCACAAAAATCTGGTGGTGTATCGCCACATACTGTATTTCTACATGTATTATCATCCCACAGCATACTACACCATGATGTACAACATTTGTACAAGCTAATCCTACATTTTAAATGTCTGAAGGGCAGAATTCTGGAGTGGTTCTTGTTGTTTCTGATTCGTATTATTTAGGTTGACCCAGGCTCTCCTGTTTGGGATCATTATTGCACTGAAAATGAAAGCAGCACCCCAAAGTCATCCACCCGACGCATCTAAGACTTCTAGGAAGTCCTACATGACAAAACCACAGTACGGCATCCCTTGTGGTGAATGTACAGAAGCCATTTTGCACCACCAGCCAACTATACAACAGATAAGGTTAAGCCTTACTTGACCAATTTAAACAGGAGAAGCCTGGAATAAACTATTTTACTGTTCATTACACACACAAAAAAGCTCTATGTTATCACTATTACTTTACTGTAACAGCATGGGACATTGTCAGCCCAGTTTGCTTTCTTAAAACTGTGTTCTTATGGATCCAAAAAGGATTATACATTATTTGTCCATAATGTTCTGCTCCAGTCTTGTAAACAATCATCATGGTTCAATGCCTGTTTGGATTTTTTTTTTTGGAGGATCTCTTCATTTGGACAAGGATTAACGAGCTGTTCAATAAGTGAGGAAAACTCCAGAATGGATTTTTAAAACTGTCAGTTTAGTCACATACTGTAGTTGGGCCCTTGCCTGAGGTATTTTAGTTTGCCCAGTTACCCATTTTGTAAACTCTTCTAAAACGTGATCTTTAAATATAGCAGATTGAATGTAATCTACCAACCCACAGCTGCACAAAGTCAGGGGTGTATTAGCTAAGTGTATTAGCTAAGGGTACTACTGCTGAACACTCTCCCACAATTCACCATTGACTTCAGCATTTCCTACCTAGAAATCAGAGCCTACAGAGCTTTCAAGGCAGTTTCCAGTCATTTCTGGAACAGTTTTCACCTCACAGGTCTAAATCTGTGGCACCTGGCAAGTCCATGAAATACATACAGTATATCGGTATTTGTTATGACCGGATTTGAAAGGATTAAGTCTGCAGGATTTACACATTTACTCAAACTACTGCCTAATGAGACGGGCTGGCAACACTAAAAGAAAAATGCACAGGGTTACTAAAGCACAATAAACCTCACACTGCGGTTATTATTTCAAGGGTTTGCAAAGCCAAAAACAGCACAATTCCTCAGCAAGGTGTTCTTCACCTATCACCTGTTGATTTAGATTTTAGTAAGATAAGCCCCTATAGTGGGGGGAAAAATAAGCTACATGAGAATCGAGTTGCTCAGCACAGTTTGATGCTTGGGAAAATCCTTTTTAAGATATAAATCAAAACTTTGCCAGCTGCCTCAAAAAAAGTCTGATAAGAATCCTGACCGAAACAATATATCTTGCAAAAATTGCTTGATGCAACATACAAAGAAGGGTGAACAGGACTTAGGAAAGAGAGCGTGAGAAACACTGTTGGAAGGGAACTTATAAAAAATGTTCTTGTGAAACTATCAAGTCAGAGCAAACAACAGTTTTTTTTGGTACATTAGAAGCCAGTTGATTATAAGTGATGTGTGCAGACACTTAATAGTCATTGTGCACAGAGACAGGGAGTCATGTGTGGGATGATGAATGCCTTAATCTGTAAAGGTAGTCCAGATGTCACCTGTGCTGGAGTCTGTGACAACTACCGGACTGAGTCCACTGTCACACAGTTAGACAAGCACCATCGGTGTGAGATACCTTAGTTTAAGGCTATTCTAAAAATGTTAGCATAGACTCGAAGAAGGTTACACAACCTAATCTTGCCACTTGTGGCAACCTAAACACTGAATGTTTTACATTTTCCTCTGTAATTGTCGGTGTTCACTTAACCACTTCTCATTATTTTGAGTAAGGATATGCTCAACTGGCCACATACTTTGAGTGAGTTTTAGGGGGCTCTGACCCCCAGCTTCTCTCTCCCTGTCTGTGTGTCTCATGGAGAGCAAGCTGGGATATGTGAAAAGACAAATTCCTAATGCAAGATATTGTATATGGCCAATAAAGTGATCTTATCATACAGTGCTGGCAGTGACAGATGGATGATTCCTCTTCCAATCAATGCCTTCCACCCTGTATGGCTCCTACTCTGAAACCTGCAGTGTGTCAAATAGCAAATGGGTGTGCTGGAGGAAAAATACCAAGTCCTCGCTCCTTGCATACTGGTGCAGAAGATGTACCGATTAGCAGACTGGGAGCAAAGGAGAAAAAATAAATGGGGTGTCTATTTGATTTTTAACAAAAAAGGAGTCTCACTTCGTAATGACACTTGTGGCAGAACGGACTGGGTTAATCAAGAGCTCAATCAGCACACTCTATGCAAGACAAGAAAATGATCCTCTTAGCAACAGAAATGAAACCCTGCCATCAAAAGTAAACACAAAATGTCTGTTCACAGTACATATTAATGTAATCAGCAGTCTATGTAAATCATCATCAACTAGGCTTCAATTCCCTCTTAATCCTCAAATGTACTGGCTATTTCTTTTTAATTGTTGCTCAAATAAAACACAGCCATCAATAATCTTTACTTTAGCTGCCAAGAGTGCACTGTCAAATTGTGTAATAACTGCTTATCTCTGCAAAACCACAAATGTCCTTTGACTATATCTATAATCTGTACATATACACTGTCCATTTTAAATGCAGACCATTCAGTTGGAAGATGAGATACAGCCAGGAAACCTATTAATATTCCTGGCACTTATTAAAAATAAGGTTTGTAAAAGAGTATTGTTAAAGTGGATGAATGAAATACTAGTACAGAATCAGATACGTCAGACTGAACTAGATTACCACTTAAAAATGAAGCACCCTGCTTTAAGTTAACAACAGATAGATGGGGTAGAGGGAGTTGGCTGATTGCAAGGTCCAGGAAACAGAGATATATATGGGTCTAATTATTTTGACCTCATTGCGCATCGTTGTAGAAATAAGGTGGGTCCCCAGCAGGTCAAGAGAAACAGACACTCAAACAGACGATCAAGGCCTCAGCCGTAACTGGGATGCACTCAGCCGGACCACTGGCTGACAACCTGCAAGGGTAAAACTTGATAAAATGACTTCCTGGGCATGAAGGACATGCTTGTCCTCCAATCTTCTCTGAACCTCCTGCATGAGGCTGCCCCTCATGTGTTAAAAGTCAAACGGCTCAAAGCTGGGCAGGTAAGAAGAGGGAGGCCTGCCTACACTTCCTCATTCCCCAGTGTGGGTGCAGGGTTTGTAGCTGTGAGATGAGACATAACCATGCAATTGAGACTTCAAATTGGGTGGATATACAGTATAACAAAATAATAAGGATAGAAATGAATCATAATGGATTTCTCATGGTTTCAACTCAACAGTGTCCTCAGATTCAAGGACCTGAAGCAGATATCGTCTTGATCAAAGCTTGAACTTTTTATGGTGACCACAAGGAATTTCAACCACACAAAGCCATGATAAAGCACGTCCCCCTTTTGACTGGTATTCAAAGTGCTAATTCATTTTGCACAAGTCTTAAATATTTGAGAAACGGTTATTTAAAATTGGTGACACTTGGGTTTTAAAGTGCTGCTAAGGGCGTATGGGAAGACAAGCTGTAAAGGTTGAATTTGAGGTGAAAGCTCTCGAAAAGGTCAAGCATTTAATGGAAGGAAAAGAAAAGAAAAAAAATGACCTTTTCAACACGTTCAGGAAAGTGTCCCAGCAGAAGTGCCCACTTTCCCAAAACATGCTTCAGAAGATGGGAAAAACTGTCTCAGGAAGAGTGAAACCCCTGCGTTTTAGTCATACAAACAAGGCTGTTTTAAACCTCTCTTAGAAGGCTAAACTGTATGTCAGAAATACTGTGTCCAATATTCCCCTAGCCTGCTGGTGGGTTTGAATAGGCTGGGCTAGATATTTACAGCTGCTGGCCCACTGTGACAAGAAACCCATTTCAGGGAAGAATTGTGTGAAACAGAGCATCCAGCCAAATTAAAACAATTAAAAAAGTAATTGCCCGTCAGGCTTAACCTGATGGGACTTATATGGCCTGATTTGCAGAATCAATCAGCCAAAACGTCCATTCTAATGAAATATTTACCAATCAGCCAGCGGATGCTAAGTGTGTCGCACTTCATGCTATCATTGAGTATTGGTCCTGGCACAGGCCAAAAAAGGTAAGGAACAAAATATCTTGAGGAATAGAGGGAAAATAGCCCATTGGAGGGGAATGGTTTCTCTTTTCTCACCAGTTTCTCACCGCTGGGGCGGTGCTGTGGCTCTGTGGCTAAGGATCTGCGCCTGTGGCTGGAAGGTTGCTGGTTCGAATCCCGCGGCCGGCAGAGGAATTCTACTCCGTTGGGCCCCTGAGCAAGGCCCTTAACCCCAGCTGCTCCAGGGGCGCCGTATAAATGGCTGACCCTGCGCTCTGATCCCAACCCTTCTCTCCCTGTCTGTGCGTCTCATGGAGAGGATGCTGGGGTATGCGAAAAGACAAATTCCTGATACAAGAAATCGTATATGGCCAATAAAGTGATCTTCTTTATGGTGAAGTGCACTCAATATTCACTTCTGGCTGGCCTATTTAAAATAGCTTAGGTTTTTCTTTGGGTTTCTATGCTGCTTCTGCTTCTTGCAAACATTTTACTTGCTCTGGAGAGGTTTATACATCTGCAAAAGTCCATGAAAATGCTGGCACCTATCTTCCACTTTGACTCGTGCATATTGGCGTACGCCAGAGATGTAACTTGTGTTTTTGCAAACTGTCCCATTTCTGACAGCGACTCTCCGTCATCCCCCTGCTACTGTGTGGAGTCATGTTAAGTGAGATAGCCCCGCCCTGGTTAGAGAAGAACGGAAAGAAAGTACCTCAACATTGCTCCGAATCCTTTCTTTTTACTTTTCTTATCTTGCTCCTCGATATCCTCCAGCCTCTTGCGGTCTTTTTCCTTCCCTTTGGTTTTCGCCTTGTCCTTCTTCTTCTCCTTCGCTTTCTTCTTCTTGTCCTTCTTGCTTTCGTCAGCGTTGTCCGGGTTGCCCTGGCGCGAGGACCCGCTGGCAGGGGTGTCCCGTCCCGAGCTTTGGTCCGAGAGTTCGTCTGTTCGGGGCGGCAGAGACAACGAATATCAGGTAGGGGGTTTCAAACAGTTACAGCAGTGGCTTTGAAAAACAGTCAGCACTGAGCACGTGCATCTGTTGAGAGTACATTAGTTACTAAAAAAAGCCACGTGCGTCTTTGTATGCAATTGATAGAAACAAATGGTAGTCATGGTAAACCACTGCTCTCTGTCTACTGCTCTTGTCCATGGAAATAAGTTCAACTTGCATGGATTTCAGATTTAACTTTTCCACGGTGCAGTTTCACAATACTCTTAAGCAACAGTATAAGTGCTCTGTAAATACAGTATACAAAGAATAGGCCTACTCATATTAAAAAGCAACCTCTATATACTGAATGAATGTTTTTAAATTGATGTTGGTAAAGAACAATGGGTTATGTTTTTTCTAAAGTAACACTTAAAAACTTTTCACATCCCTGAAATCCTCTCTCTTCTCATTCTCTGCCAAGAGCCCATGCCACTCTTGACCCTGTTCTCTCCAATTCCCAGCACATTTCTTCTCTGGCGCTGCTCCTGCTGCCTCTTCTTGTGCAACAGTCGCCGAAGCTGACCCTTCGTTAATTGTTCAGCACAACTCCTGGCCTTCTCCCAGATTCCCTTCCCTTCCAGTTCTGACAAGGAAGGCCGGCCACCCACCCACTCTTTCTTCTTCAACGCGTTGCTGATTCACGGCTCCGGTCCCCCCACACCTCTGATTCAAAACCCCAGCGCTTACCTACCGTTGTCTCCGTCGCTCCGTCCCTGCCCATGTCTCCTTTGCCCACCTCTAACCCTCGCCATCCCAGGTCGCTCTTCCATTTCTACTGCCCATGCGTTCGCCCCCCCTCCAAAACCCATCTGTTTAGGGAGCTCATGCAACCTCTCAGCTCCCACCCTCACCTTTCATTAAGTCCTACACTGTCCATTGGCAATCGTATCTTTTTCACAACCACGTTACTGCCATTTTATATACTGTCAGTTGCCGTTTTATTATTTTAGGTGGCCCTGACATGCCTGTTACCGGTTTTGCCTGTCTCATTGTCATTATATTGATTTTAGCCTTACTAGATCAGCACAATTGTTCCTTGTGCTCACCCTTAATTTAAATATTCTATATTGTAAGCCGCAGTGGTTAAGGATGTCAGCCGACAATTTCTCTTTTCCATCAGGGTAAGATATTTGCATACTGTAAATATATATAGCCAGACGCAAACAAATAATCTTGCAACCACCTAATGTGATCCTTTTCATCCATGAAGTGTCAGCTTTACCTCCACTGCCTTCACGCTACAGCTAAAAGGCCAAAAGGCTGGACTGAATGTTCTTTCAAGGGACCATAAGGGAAGAACGTCATATGTAGTTTTTATCCATTTGAGGTCTTAATAAAGGCCTTGACAATGGACATTTTGAAATTTAGATTCCTTTTCAAGTCATTTGCCCAGTACTTAATGTTTTGGGAATACATTCCTGGTGTAATGGATGTTTTAAACTGCCTTTTTTTCCCCACTGCTAAAAGCATGCACGCAAAATGGAAGAGAAACTCATAATTTCAAAGCTGCTGACACAGCCATCTGTTACTGCCCATCCGAAGTGTGGCCGAATAAAGTAAGCTATCAATCTTAGACCGCTCTCCTGAAACAAGTCTTTCATTTTACTGCTTTTGCAATGCTTATCAGATGGTCATTTTAGTGAAAAGAACAGATGTAAATTTACTTGAGCCAGGAAATGGGACTTTGCTGTGTAAATTGGTGGACAAAACACACACTACTAAATCAATGCTGTTAGCCATATGCACACGTGACAATATGGTGGGTACTTCATTATTGTAAAGGCTGTTAGTTGTGTAGCAGCTACTGCATACCGAATGCTTTCTCTCCCTCAAAACACAAACTGCAGACAATTCTCTGATGTTAACCTGATGTTTTTTTTCATTCATTATCATTCTCTCTCCACCTTGTCTGGTGCCACAACAGAGCTATGCATCAATTCTGGAATTTTAATTCTTGGCACTGCAGAGTGTGTTATGAGGACAAGAGCAAAGCTTTTTTTTCCGCAATAAAAAACTCTGGACATCCTGTTGAGATATTGTGCTGCATAAGACGCAATTGCACTGGCAATTTTGATCCCTCAGCAGTAGATAAGGAATCGCTTATGTCATTTATCGAGCAAAAACAAAGAAAAACTGAAAAATAAGCCCTTGATTTGGATATGTGGTCAGACAGGAGATGCATAATTTATTGTTTCCTGACAAATACAGGCAGAATGTGTAACACAGCAACATCATTAAAAATGAACACACTGGACAAAGAATATTTATTACTCAATACTGTGGAGGAAAAAACATTGTAAAAAATTGGCCTGACTGCGATGTAAATTCAACTTACATTGAGACAGATTAAATGCTTCTTGGAAAACTATGTTGCAACTATTGTCACAGGTATTTCTGTACCCAAGTCTGAATTGCTAAAAATACCTGGTTGTTTGCTGTTGACTGCAACTTTGATGACATTAGAAAAGCAACACTTAAGAACTGTATAGGTCCCACTACTCAGAGCCAGCCTCAGCTCACAGAGACTTCAACACACTCCCTTCGCAAGGTTGCAGTGCCCCTCCTCAAGATACAGCGGAAAGGCTATATTCTCTGAGCAGGAATTGGTGTGAAATTTCACTCTCTTTCCAGCAGTCAAGGAAATATCTGACTTTTCGGCACGCTTTATGAAGACAAACAGAATGATGGATGACATCAGGGACCAATTCACTCTCAGGAACAAGGGAATGTACGCAGAATGATTAAGTATTTTAAATCGTATTTTAGAAGAGACAAAACCTGTTCCTCAAAAAAGGATACAGCAACCCTAATAAGCCTTTGGTTGTGTCCTATTCTTCTTTAGCCTGAGTGTTGCTGAAAAATAAGCTAAACTTCTCTTAGTGACGATGCAACACACTCCACTGTGATGAGTCATTCAGTAATTAATATTCTGTGAGCCACTTTTAGTTCTGAAGTCCATCTCATTTTGTTTTTTCCATATCGCGCATTGAGAGTGGTTTCATTACAAAATGAATCGTAGCATGCCTGTGTTGGACTGCTTCTGGGAGAAAACAGTAAACAAATCCAAAGAAATCCCTGGAAGGCTCTCTGGCATGTCTATCCTCTGAGATATCACCGGGCACCGCTGTGTTTCCAGCTCTGTGATATGAGCTATAATGAAAATAAACTGTTGAATTGTTTTATTCAGCTTTCAGGAGGTGTCAGAGAACTCCATCAGAATGTAGACAAAACTACAGAAGATCCAGAGGGTTGGTCAGTTCCGACAGGCCTAGTCTGTCTGAAAAACTGCATTTTCAACCACAAGTAAACAAGTTTCCACAAATGGATGGAAGAAAAACTACTGACCCACTCCAATAAGTGGAAATGCTGTGCAACCCATCTTGAAAAGTGTCTGACCTAGATAATCCAAATCACTCCTCTGAATTCACCATGGAAACCAAGAATGAGGGGACACATGGCATTAAAAATGAATCATAGTAAACACAATTCTGAAAACATAAACATTTCTTAACACAAAAAACGTAATGTACAAGGACATGGTATTAAGCTTTGTTTCGAAAGATATTCCACTAGGATATCCAATTCCTGAGAAGAAAGAATCCAAAATGACCAAAATGAGACTGGTAGTTACTTATCATATCTTTCCTTTTAAATAATTCATTCTAAGCAAGGAGAGCAAAAGCTGGCCAGAGAGAACATTTATTTTAAATTAAGAAATGTGGGCAGTTCTAATTTCTTTCAAATGTTATTCCTCAGAAGGCCTGAGTCCTTCTAAAATAACATTCTTCCTTCCAAGTCTAAATGTCAGCAGAAAATATTCATCAGCATTACAGAAAGCACATGGTATATACAAATAGATATATACTGTAATAAAAATGTAATTTTTGTAAGATGCACCCTGAAAGATTTTGTAGGCTTAAAGAAATCCGTTCACTCTGTCTTGAGAGCTCTCGGGAGAGGTCTAAGCTGGATGAGGCTGGAATATGATTAGCTGGGATAGTTCAGAGCAGTGGTAAAATCATGTGGTCACTTGATATGTTTTAGTTTGTGTAAGCTTTACTTTTATAACTGAGGAATTAGTTGTTTTTTTATTTTCAGGATGTCTTTCTCAAAGCCAGGATCTATCTCCCTTACGTGTGGGCCATCTTAAATATTACAACTTGTTTTGTTTTTACTTTAGACATGGCTCAAAAATACTGAAGATGAAATGATTTAACTGTCACTATGGATGGTAACAAAACAATGGGTGTAAACCTACTTTATCATTCAAATTCTCTGATGTACTACTCTACTGCACCATTTCTCTGAAGGAAAGGATCCTGTAATAAACCAAGCTATGTTTTCTAGAATTATCTTTTGCTTGTCCCGAGAATCAAACTTCACTGGCTTTCACAATAAACCCCTGAGGCAGTAAGCTGATGGACTGCCCAAGTCATACAGATGTAAGATTATATAACAGCTTACTTTTATTTCATGTGAAATAAGATCACAGGAAACAGGAAGTTAGGATCCCCTGCAGAGTGAGGAGCTGGCCACTGAGGATGGGTGGAGACGGAATGCATGGAGGAATGGAGGAACAGAGAAGGTATTACTGTAGGTTTGATACGTTTTTCTGAATTTCACGTTTTGGGGAATTCGGAGTTAGAGTAACAGAAATGAGGCAGATGTTGATGGCTCTCATTCTTCCCAGACATTCGTTAAAAAATGCCGGTGTCTGGGAGATCTTGCTAACATCTTATAATTACAGAACAGTCCCGTATCAACGTGTAACACTTCACTGTATTTTGTGGTTCACCTCATCAGTTTTTTTTCCTCCTCCTTTTGTCTTCTTTTGTTTTAAGCTTGGTTGTTTCCTTTTCCCGATCTGAAAATCCCACTGCTAACCGGAAGGGTGGATTCACCCAGAATTTGGTTAACGCCTGTAGATGCTGCACCGTGCTATGAGGAAGGCTTCACTTAAATACGGGGGAGACAACTTTAAAGAACAGAGCCAAATAATGAATTGTATCGGCATGTAATTGTCGTTATTTAATTTTTGACACTGCAACACTCGCTGTTTAATACAAGCAGGAATGATTAACTTTGTTCTCCAATTGATTTGGATGTGCTTGTTTTAATGTCATTTGGCAGCATTTTCCACAGGCAGCATTGATGTACTTATTGGTAGCCGATCTTTGATCACTGAGAACAATGCAGAGCTCACTCTCGTCATCCTGGAGGGAGTTCATTAATTGTTAGTCAGCTTGATACAGATTTTTTGTAGTTGGCTTTGATGCTCATTCATGGAAATCGCCTGCTACCTTCATGAATCTAAAGGGCGAGGGTGTGTTCCGTTTTTTGCTCCTCTCGCACTCTTCACCCTCAGCAGGACAGCAGAGCTCTTGACCTTCAGCTGCAGAGCCTCTGTTGTGACATGGCCTTGTCCGGAGACACAGTGCAGCACTGTGGGAAACCCTCTCGCACAGATGTTTCAGCTCTGTCGTTTTCCCACATGATGCCCCATCACCCCACAACCAACTAGTCCTGAGCAAAGCTACACCAGCTTCTTCAAAGATTTACTCTCGCCTGGGCTACAGAAGAGCCCCTCGTCTGGGAGCGTTGTGGTACCATTTCAGATTCGCAGAACTTTTGCCAGCGTTTTCCTCGCAAAAAGAACTAAATCAAGCTGGGATCGTTTTTTACTGAACAGTGTCTCACTGTAAGACTAGTTCTTCTTAAATAAGCACTGAACAGCAAAAGAAGATGAATTCTCCTGTGGGACAATTACACGCCATTAAAAGAAAATATATTTCACTGAGGCTAGAATTTAATTTAGCAGCGACCATTGCTTCTTCATGGGGTACAAAGGCAGCTTTATTCACCTGATGTTTAATGGCTCAGGTTTTTGTTTCCCAATTCCAATCTTACAGTTCAAAATACCTTGTTTTATCCCTATTTACAAATATGGATCATCTCGAAGTCACCTGTCTGTCATGGAAGGGTGGAAAGCAAGTTCTGCGTCGTCACACATTGGAACCACCCCACCCCAGTTTGGATGATGCGAGCGCAGTCAGACCGAGCCGGCTTATAACTCAATGGCCTCGTACCGTCATCCGCCTCCGGGGGCCCGTCGTAGGACTTGTCGATGGCCGCCCGGAAGCTCTCGTTGCAGCCTCGCCCCCGCACCATGTGCGGCCTGGGCCTGTGGAAGGGCAGCTCATTCTTCTTCACCTCCGACATGGCCGTCTGCAGGCTCTCCAGCGAGCTCGACTTCTTCAGGCCCAGGGTGGGACCCAGGTCTCCGCCGCGAGGCGGACCTGTCGAGGGAGAGGCGGGAGCGGTTGAAATCCGGCAAATGAGCAAGGGCATTCGAAACGCGACCCGCCAACGCAGCAGACCAGAGGAAGACAAGACTCAGGGAACGCCCAGAGGTCTTCCCCCTCTCTCCCTCCTGTCTAAAAGCAATAAAACATTCAGCTACCGTATGGCTTTACAGCCCGGTTTTGTACCAAATACTACCATGAGAACAAACACCAATTTGTTTTCATAAGACCTTGGTTTGCCTCTCTCTCTCTGACAAATGTATCTTTGAGAAGGAATTTCTCAAATTTTGCTTTCACTGGGGGCTGGATTCAAAATAACATTAATCCCTGGGCTGTACTGGATATGATAAACATGATGGCGATATCGCTACTTACCATCGCTGGGAATTTCATCACTGATCAGCGATGTCGTACTTTATCAAGATATAAAACATATCCAGCAGGGCATTAGAACTAATGGCATTCTGAATACATCCCTCAGTGAAATCCAAATAGTATATTTAATAAAGATTACAGGGTGTACAGAGGTATGGACATAGCCTCCATTGCAGATGTCTTATACCACCCTTCTATTTATACTTTATTAATTTACTGTAACTTTAACCTATGCTCCTTTCTTGCGAGAATTTGCTACCATCATTTCGAGAGACCCATGGATCATGAAGGAAGTCAAAATTTCTCACATGAGAACACATGGAGGATGAAGCTCTAACCCTCCATCTGCCTTTGCAGCTCAAGAGAGCCATATATCATCATCATCCCGGTCACTTCAAAGGAACGGTGGGCAACTTGGCTCCACTGAGCCTTCAGACATATAATGCTGCCAGATTCAGACAGAACTGAGCTACCCAGCACACTCAAAATTCATCAAGGCAGACGGATTCTGAAGCTTGTGAAAGGCTAAGGGTTAGGGAGCAATTGCTGAATTACTGTCATATTAAGCACGTTCTGAAAATTAAGCGCCCTTCACAGAACAGTGCAAAGTCCAATTACCAATATAAATCTTTGACAATACATGCCGTACATTAAGAGCAACCCTTTTCCAGACTACCACTTTGAAGTAAGAAGATTTATTTATATATATAAATATGAAAGCCCAGCAAAGAAGAAAGAAAGCAGGTTGATTCTTCTGGGAAAAGGTACAAAGCAGAGGAAATTTTCAAGTTACGTAAGCACTTTAAATCCCCCTGAATGTGTGGGCTGATAGCGGGTTAAATCCACTGCCTTAAATCCCTTTTAAAGTTTGAACTCCTTTTATGAAAATTACTTTTTAAATTTTGCCTGCACTGATCTAAGTGATGAATGGTCCTGCTGAGCCAGGAACAGGCTACACTGTTTATCATCTCAATCAATCATGACTTTGACATTGCTGGAGTACTCTCCAGCCCAAAACACATCTATCTTGTAACATCTCCTAACATCCTTTTCTTACGGTAAGGGAGATAATCACAAGAATCAAAATGAAATCATTAGCTAAAGGAATGCAGATCTAACAATGCATTCATGAATCAAAAAAATCGTCATATTGACAGCCACCGTCAGTTAGAATTCAAACAAGCTTTGCCTTCAATTTTTTTCACTAATGGGCATGCAAATTAAGATTGAAGTGGCTGTATTATTTTAATCCATACAGTCACAGAAGGCAGTATGAACTAAACTCTAAATCAGCAAGAAGCAACCTTGTGTGCAGGACTGTGGTACATGAAGATATCCTGTTTATCAAGCCAGTCCCTTTCACACTGTTTTCTCAACAGAAGTGATGTCTCAAGACATAAAATTGAGACTAATACCTACGAGACTATGAATGTTTCTGTCCCGAAATCAAATCCCTAACCCACTACCTTATTGTGTTCAGGTAGCTAACGGGGACCAGGGAGAAAATCCTTAGGGAGACAATGTGGAGCAGCCAGGCAAGCCTCACTTGCAGGTTTTTCCCTGCTTTAGGACAAGGGGATAACATGCAAACTCCACACAGAAGGCACCCCAGTCCAGAATTAAATCCTAACCCTATCCGCCAATATTCTTTGTATTGTTATATCTTTCATGGAAACCCCTCCCCCACCAGAATCACACCACCGGGAGACAAATAAAAAAACATGAGAGAGTATTTGGTTTATATGAGATAATGGATCTGGTGAGAACTACATTTCCCAACATGCTGTGGGGCGGGGGATTATCTGCTGCCCTTTGTCACCTGACCCATCAGGTGAACATTTAGGAACCAGGAATTGTCGTCCTGCATCCCCCACCTGGATACAGCAGGTGAAGGAGCTCAAATTAATAAGAGAATGGACAAGAAGTGGCAGTAAAGAGCTGGACTGTGGGGTCATAAAAGGCTTTAGGACAGTGCCGGTCAGCAACACAGTTGTGAGGTTTCAGTTTGAGAGGAACTAAAAAAGCTCTGAAGAGAATTCAGCCTTTTCTTCTGTTTTTATAAATTAATTCAGAAATGGACACCTATGCATGGATCTAAAACATCCATGTTTGTTGTGCCCCTTGTACAAAACCAGCTGATCTGACCAGCACTCCAAAGTGTGACAATCTTTGCAATGTTTCTCAAATGCACCACACAGTAATTGCAAATTTCTGCAAGTAACAACAGCGTCTCTTGAGTCTCAGCTTAAAACCTTGTGCATGCAATAAAAGGAAAAGGTCAAGTCTTCTACAGCCCTGGGAAAACAGGTTGACTGTTGGAGAAGGGCAATTAGAAGCAAACAACAACAGAGGATTTAACTTGAAACTTTAAAAACTACAAAAAAACATTTCGGAATAACATACTTTTTGGCAATTAGTGTTTAAATAGACTGTTGAAATAAGAAATAAAAGCTACTGAGGGAGTAATGTTTAACACTCCTCAAGTTATGGTTAGATTTACCAGTCAAAAAAACTTAGAAAGTACAGACTATGACAGAACAAGTAGACTGATTTACAGAAAGTTTAACTGAGCTCTTGGTCTGGGCCTTAATCTGTTAATGATTATTAGGCTATGTGTTGTAAAAACATCTGAGACTGGGAAAAAAAAAACACAATTACTTTATAAATAAAGCGCACACATGTGCAGAGCAGTCATTTCACAATTACGCTTAAGAAAATGTAGCTTGCAGCACATACAGTAACTATTAGGCGATGTGATCTGTGTGAAAGGAAAAAAAAGAAAACTTTTGTAGCTGTGGTTATGATAATCATCCTGTTCCAACACAAGGAGAGAAAGTGCTAGGTAAAAATGCTTATCTCCACTGTTTTAAAAGGACTTGAATGATTACTGTACTTGGAAAGATTTAAACTACCAAAATACTTGTTAATTTGTGGTTTGCCAAGAAAATTGAGAGTTTCAGGCTGGAAAGTAGAAAGAAGAAACAATATTTCAGCTGTTGAACCTTCTTCACATGTGTCAGGATGAAAAAGGCAGAGAAACTCTGGTCTGATGTAGCAATCAGCCTACACTGTTAAAGGCTTGTGTTGTAACAGCTGCACAGTCTTGGTCTCACAGAAATGTCATATAACCAGCAAACATATATCCCCTCTGACCCCACCTAATAAATGCACATCATGTATTATGCAGACGTCTTTAGGAACAGCCATAGTTCCTTAACAGGGGAAGAATTCGTTAGCCAACTTTATTCTGCATGTGGCAGGTATTTGCAAACACAAAATATTCTAATGAAGCATCTTGATTGAATGTGGCCTTCATTGGTATTGTAAAATTAAGATATAAAGCTTCAGATAATGGCTATATAGTTTATGAAAACATAAATAAAAAGAATAAAAATAAAGACAAAGTAAGGTTAACTGCACCTTTAAAGCATGGACACTAGGCTTAAGAACAGCTTCTACCGAACAGCATTAAACATCCTTAACAGCTGACTGCAGTGCCTCAGACTTAATGCACCTCTGCACTATGCATTTCTGACTTGGTCTACCATGTTTTTTTGTTCTCCATCACATACTGACTGTCCATGCTATCAGTATTCATTATCCTCCTGTAATGTACTGTCTAACTTGTGTGGTGCCATGTCATCTGCAGTACTGTCCATGTCCTGAGAGAACAGCATGAATAAGAGCTCCGATGTACATCCAATGTTCGAGGCAACCTTGAGTTTGAGTGCGAGACTGTGGTACAGTACATGAAGATATCCTGTTTATCAAGCCATTCCTTTACACACTGTTTTCTCACCTCAACAGAAGTGATGTCTCAAGACATAAGTTTGAGAATAACACCTACAAGATTATGAATGTTTCTGTCCCGAAATCAAATCCCTGAGCCACTACCATATTGCGTTAAGTCAGCTAACGAGGACCAGGGAGAAAATCCTTAGGGAGATAATGTGGAGCAGCCAGGCAAGCCTCGCTCGCAGGTTTTCCATGCTTTAGAACATGGGGATAACATGCAAACTCCACACAGAAGTCACCCCAGTCCAGAATTAAACCCTGCCCTTTTCTGCCAATTTTCTATGTACATACGGCAATGAATTCTTCTATTACTACGCAACTAAAAAAAATCTGCTTCAGTGAATTTGGGACAAATAACAAAAGCATGAAATATATCTTTTTGGTTTGACTACCTAGTCTAAGGCTTATCTTAATCCAGACTCACCAATTCAATCCTGCTCTGAGGCAGCAGCTCTATTGTTTATTAGTTTGGGCTTTCCAGAGATTTCAGGCTGTGAAGACCAGGGTAATTATGCCTGAGATAACCTTTGTCAGAAACACACAATGTAAACTAAAAGAGTTGTAAACAAGCATAGCATCACAAGCATAAAGAAAAAATGAATCACAGGTTATCCCTGAGGACAAACCAAGGGGAAAGAGCTTTAAACAGCATTATGTTTCAAAATTAAACCAGAAAAACACTGATACTTCACATCAGAACCCTTTGTCTTCCACACTTAAAGCTGTTTTCTAACCATAAGCACAACAAATCACATTTCCTTTGAAAGCTCTAGCCGATTCAGTAAAACACAATTCAGATTTTTAAAACAGCCTCAAAGCCGTAA